TGGGTTCGGCTATCGACGATGCGATGATGGCAGTCCAAACTCCAAAGCGAGCCAGTTTGCTGCCTTCAGGTCCTAGCACCTCGCCTTCAGAGTACCTAGTGGCACTATTGCTTTAGCGATGGTTCCCGATTTAATTCTCCGACCCCAACTAGCAACGCTTGGTCATTCATGGCCGAAGCCTAGCAAAAGTTCGCCAGCATCAGCTCTCGCCCGTCATTTGTGATACTGCCCGACTGGTGGGGGCGGCCAGTGCCACCTCTCCACGTCCTGCACCTTGACAAATATAGATGGATAGATGGATGTAAAGGACAACCACCGCACCAGTCGGCTGAGACAACATACTCTTTGATATCCACCGATTAGCATGGCGCTACGAGTCAGAGCAGCTTAGCATCACGGGAACGATCTACAGGAGCATTAGACAGCCGCCTTGCAGATTCCACATTTTGCTCTACCATGGCTCTGGTCCCTGTTACCCTCGAGGAGCATCCGGGCATTGCGCCATCATTGTGGCATGTAGCGATTCCAAAGCGGCAAAGACCAGTGGGATTTGTCGTCATACAGTGGGCAGAACTTCAAAAAGTACATACGTCAAGATTCCGTTTTTGCCAAGAGGCATACTGATAGACGCCTCGATCGATACGTCAATCTTGCTTTGCTCTGCTAAGGACGTCCCTATAAAATCTCGGTCTAGTACATCGATTTGACTGTTGTTCTCACTGCCACAACCACTCGTTCTATCACCATGCCTAAACATCCAGCCTCTCGAACAACCGGATACAATACGTCTAGATCGATAAAAAGCAGTTCTGGCGAGCAGCGTCCCCGTAGAGCAAGAGGCATGCAGCTAGCCGGCTGGATGTACTCGGAATATGCAGCCAGTGCCGCCATTCCTCATGTACGATCGGCCACCAGCCCTCACCGACTTCCCTTACTTAGTTACCAACCCTGGCTATCAGCTAGCGGCCTTTAGTGGTGCGACATGCAAAGCACAGAACGGCAGCGCCTATTGAGATCTCGGGGTACCGGATCTGGCCACAGCATCGTTCCAGTCAGACGGTAGCTTTTTGGGGTCTGCATGTACTACATCACCATCTTTCATGTGGCGTGCGACAAAGATCGGCTCGAAAATGCGCAGCATGTGTGCTATGTTCCATCGGAAATAACGGCCAATACCAGGTGGTCCAGTGCATTCGATGCAGCTTTACGTTCCGACATCACTCACTCGCGAGAAGCTGAGTTCAACGCCTAGCATAGCTTCTGATCGAATATGTACGGCATATGTTCAGCGCTAATATCACAAATAGGATTCTTCTTCGGAATGGATATGAAATAGACAGCGGTCGTCGATCTTCTACCTCAAACGTGTCGGCTAGGGATCCTGGTTGGACTGTAGATTGGTGAGTTGGCCACCATTCTTGGCCCCTGCTTGACGTCGGGTTCTTGAAACCTACCAACCCTGCACACTTCATCTCAACTTTGAGGCTCTGCGAACTACGTCTCGGAATATATGGACGACCTAATCGACAAGCAGCCATCGCTTCCACTTATCGCTGCACCTTCGGGTTTAAGCGGAACTTCGCACCATCAGGGACCGGCACCTTAGGATCCATTAGCGTGATCAGATGTTTTCACCGTTCCCTCGAACAACGGTCTGTCAGCCATGGTGCATGGTCAGACAGACAAAGCTGGAAGGAAACGGGACCGTTGACGCCAACCCCACTGAGATCCACGGCATAATCACAGACCAGTACCTTAATTATACGAACCACGGTTTCTAAGGCAAAGAGAGCCACATCATTATCTCCAAATGAACTTACAGCTATGCCAACAACTTTCGTTGCCTGCGTCTGGCACAGTCTCTGGAAACTCACGCACCTCTTCTGTAGCCCAGTGGTTCTCGAATTTCGGCCCTAGACTCATTGTCTCGGGCTATGCGGATATTGCGCAGACCAGGTAATCATCGTTACAGAGTCCAAGTAGCTTTGGCCACAATTCACTTGTGTCCTGTGAGATGCTTCAACTATGTCACAGTGGTACGATTAATCAGTCATGGTTTCACAGAGGACATGACGTTACCCCTGCAGGACTCGGTCTGTTACAACTAGTCCATCATGTGCGAGTGTCATACAGCAGAGGATCCTAACCGGGATGCAGTTCATTTCCGAGGGGCGACGAACTGACCCGGAAGCTGAGAGTTGCTCGCGAGTTGATCTTAGCATGGTGGGCTACTTTGGATCCTAATTGACTTCATCTGTAGCATGGAAGAAATCCAGGAATAACCATCGAGTTGCACAGAGTCACCGTATCCACGACTTGCCGTCGTTCGCGACATCGCCCAGCCGAGCAAATGTAAGCAATAAACTCCGCATGACACGAAGAGAAAGCTAATCGTGAAAATGCGACGGGATCCAAGACTGTTCTCCTGCTCACATGCAATTACACCAGACCCGCAAAGGCACGGTAGCACTCGTATGAGCTTCTGGACCCGACATTGTCATCCTTTATCCAGCTGCGTGTCTGCACGCTGATCCGTCTCGGTTCTTCAGCAGATACTCCTTGGATTCTCCAACGTTTGGCAACTTACGTTACCATCTCGCGTGGATGTTGAGAGGCTACGGCCTATGTTGGTCCGCCGGAGTCGTACATGGTGCTCATCATCGCTCCTTCACCGATTCAGACGCTCTTTGTTAAAAGGTGTCATCGAAGTTTCTGACAAATTTGCGTCAAATTCTGTGGCTGACAACATGATGTTGCTTCGTAGACTGCGTCGTCCCGAATAGCTACTGTGGCATTCGATAGCCTCGCAAGGTAGGCGTATGGATCGTCCAGGATGGCGTTGAATACTGATATCGAATTTGACGATTTGGTATCTTTCCAGAGAATCCGATGATCGGCTGGATTATTCAAAGAAGAGACGTCCGTGACGTGGTCCGGTTCACGAGCTGAAGGGTCGTTCCTTGATGCCAACTCAGATCGCCTTACTAGCGAGGATCATGTACAAAGAGATGATCGTGGAGCCACTCCAAGCCTTGACCACTTCTTCTCAATGAGAAAGTAGGTCACAGTGTAATTCAGGGTTAGAATTCAAGCGCCTTCGATTTGATAACGTCGTCTCCGCTTCGCAGCTCAAAAATCAGCCGCATCCCGCGTCAGGAGAGAACGATCGTGGGAAGTTTTGAAAGTCCGCCGCTCCATATAGCCACACTTGATCTCTAGTGACCGTATTCATCATTCCAATCGACAGCTCGACCTTTTGCCGGGTCGTACGTTAGTATTCGAATCGCGACTCATTGCCACGCGGTAAAATTGTCAAGCGTTGGTTGGAACTGACTCTGCAGATAGCCGTAGCAAATCACCTCGTGTGTTTACTATTTCCACCGAAGTCACAACGGAATGAAGACAACGCTGAAATATGATCTCGATATCAGACCACGAGCATCCCAATTTCCTAGACCATTCGGCGATTCACTAAGGCCATCATTTGGAGAATTCCTGATGAGATATTGTGAGAAGACTCTACTTGTTTTCTGCTTGTTTCATAGGCCTTATTTTGGAGAACGAGATGGCGATCTACTCCGTATAAGCATACCATGCTAACTATGTTTTCTGATAGATCACATACACATGAGCACCCGGATTGGCTACATGAGGAGCAGAAATTCTCCAAGCCAGCCACAAAAGCTCGGCTCAGCTTCAAGAGTCGAAGAATCAGTCATTTCATCTTCAAAATGAGAGCATCTCAAGGTTTCTCATGGAGTCTCGGCTACTCTGGCAAGCAGGCTGTCGTCCAACTCCTCTGCCTGATGCCGTCACAGAACTGAGCGTCCCGTCGTTGTTGTCCGTGCCGGCGTGCCGGCCGAACATCGCCGGGACTAGGCGACTGTATAAAATTAAAAGCACCTGGCGCGCAAAGGTTGCCTAAAATGCCTTGTTTCTTGGGCGCGTTCCGCGCAAAGACTCCGGTTCCGCTGTGGATGCGGGAGACCCTTAGTTCAAGAGCAATGCGGGGCGCGACGGAACCCTTTTTCGACATTCAAGGCTGTCCGAGTCGTTGCCAACAGGGGCCTGTCAACCCGTCCGGGGTTTTCGGCAAAAATTACACGAGATCGTCAATCAAGCTCGCTGCACGCATTTCAGCTGGCCGATTTCTGATTGGGTGTTTTTGGCGAGTTGACCAGGAGCTGGACTGAGGTCTGCCTTCAGCTGCAAGCCACATTCTCCGGTTCGGGCTAAAGGCCTTGATAGTCTTGTCTTGGGCACCGCTAGACTCCACTACACCGCTATCACGCCAAAAGCTCAACACCAAAGATGAGTTGTCGTGACATAGGGCGCAAAGCCTTGTTTGTTGGTTACAGTCCGTATCCGTAGGGTTTTGTCAGTGAGCCCCCGAGCCGCGAGTCGGAAGCGCATGGAGCTGCGCGGGAAACACGAATTGGATCGAGTGATCTCCATGTAAGTGAGCACAAAGAGGTGTAAAAGTACATGAGATCTACCCCCTTGAGTCGACTCGACTAGATATGTAACCAGGTCTCAGAAAAGAAAAACGGCTTTGGAATGATCATCTGGCTGTCTGCCTTGCCAGGCTGGTCAAACAACGCTACCAACGCGCATCGGTCCATACCCGCACCGCACGAGGCGGAGTTTCCACATGGTCCAATCTCAACCAGCCTCTATACCCCGGGCCAAGATACGAACGGTCAAGTGCAGGAGACTTGGAGCTGGACCCTTGGTGTCTCCCTCCTTTGAGCCTCATTGGCGTTGTTGGACGCCATGGTCTATTGGCTCACCCGCAGGGCGCGTTCTATTCGGTAACTTTCTCATCTCAGCCCGAGCTGGGATTGCCTGGCTGGCTGTTTCTGTCTCCCTTTCTCCCACATCCTTCTCTGGAGCCCTCGTCTCTCTTCTTATCCCTCACTCCCCCCCCTTTTTTCTCGCACTTCTCTTCCACATCATATTATTCTGTAAACACATAGGAAACAGATCGTTACAGATTCAACATGGGGAGATTCATTCAACTCGGAGCACTTGCTTGCTTGTACCTGGGCGTGGAGTCCAAGGCGCTGAGATGGCAGGACGATACCCCAAGCTGGTCTCCACCCAGGCAGACCATTGCTGCGATGAACATGGAGGAGCTCGGCTTCAGTCCAAAGCCCACTGCGGCGCCTGAGCCCGGCTATGTCGACCTGAAGCTGGCCAAGCGTGTAAGAGGCGACGATACCTGTGGTTACATCTCTGGAGAGGCTAGTAAGTACACGACCTTTTGATAGACAGAGACTGGTGCTTTTGTGAAGGATGCTGACCTCTCTTCCAGCCAACTCCATCTACTGTGGTACTGGTTCCTGTGTCATCAACAGCTTCTATTCCGTTGTTGGATGTTGTAGCTCCTCCTCGGTCACGGATTGCACTACGATTGCCACGAGCTGTCTCCCATCCAGGTCAGCGAGTCGCGCCAGCAGTGGTGACACTCGTATGCAACTCTGGTACGTTATCCTGTCGCTCTCCTTTTGCTGCTTGAACCATGTCTCATACAAGACCCTTCAGTACTGCCTCAGAAAGACCCGAGTGTGCCACTTACATCTACTCGGGCTCGTTGTTCAACCGTTATACCCTCTATGCATGCGCCGCCACTGAGGAAGTGATTGTCGTCTACGCAAACCCTACAGATTCTTCCGTCACTCAGGAGTCAACGACAGCGCCGGCAACAACCTCCCTTCGCAGCATCGCGTCAACCACTGCTACGTCGGCAGCTACTACTAGCACTTCTAGCGGTGGTGGTGGCGGCAGCGGCGGCTCGTCCACTCCCGTTGGCGCTATTGTGGGCGGCGTCGTCGGAGGTGTAGCGGCCATTGCACTCATCGTCTTCGGCATCATCTTCCTCCTCCGCAAGAAGAAGAAGGACACCAACAATGTCAACAACAACAACCAGGCCGCCCACCAGTCTTACGTCGGACCCCCGCCGCCCAACCAGGGACAGCCGCAAATGTACCAGCAGCCCGGCCCGCCAACGCAGCAGCCGTCGCCCCAAGGATATCCTCCCCAGCAACAGCAAGGGCACTACCCACAGGGCTTCACACCCGTGGATAACAACAATAACAGACAGAGCATGATGAAGCAGCACTACGACGTCACCACGGGATCCTACGACCAGAGCACCAACGGCGTCAGCCCGCCCGCCAGCCCGCCGCCCATGAGCCCGTCGCCTACATACCAGTCCGGTGTGCCGCAGTATGTGCCCTCTCAGAACAGCGTCAGCCCGACGCAGGGGACGTATCCTCCTCAGCAGCAGCCGCAGCAACAGCAAGGGGGCTACTACAACGCACCACCTCCCGCTCAAGGACAGCCGCCTGCGCCACAGCAGCAGCAGCAGCATCACCAGCAGTCGAGCTTCGCTTCTGAGCTGCCTGCTCACAGGGGCGACAATGAGCTGCGTGAGTTGGCTTGAGCGGGCTGTCGACGTGGACAAGGACAGGCAAAGGTGGGAAAGCGCAGTTGAGGGGCGGTTTGGTCTAATGATGGATTTAATTTTCAAGTATGATTGCGGAGGTGCTTGGATGGATACGAAGCTCACGCTCTCGAATGCTGTTGTGAACGCGGAGTCAGCAGTGATGTTGGGCAGGATTTTTTGGAGGGAGGGGCAACTATCGTTATGTGTATATGTAATACCCAAAGTCTTTTTACATGGCCTCAATGGGCTTATGAACCCTCTCTGATGCAATTGAGATATATACAACCAAAATATTGCCGAGAAATGTCGTGAGACATGTCACTGCTAGTGCATGGGGTTTCATGATCGTTAATCAAATTACAGCTTGCTGTGTAAGTCACGGCGCCAGGGTGTATTTGGGTTTCCCTGTCGTCCCGGGATAAGGTGGTCCACGGCCAAGGTATTGAGGAAACCCGGGTGGACTTGGTTTAGATTTGTGACGCCGCACATTTTCATTGTTGTCTCCAGTTCGTCTCGCAGGACTACAAAGAAAGTTAGCATTCTCGTCATATATATCACGGTATATGCATTGCCCAGAAAGCCCAGACCGAATGGGACTCGGGAAACAGGAGAAAAACAAATACTCACTCTCAATGTATCGCTCCACGCCCTCGGCACCATAATTAAGCCCGTACAGCAACCCCCTCCCAACACCCACGGCCTTGGCACCAAGACACAAGGCCTTGAAGATATCCGTCCCGCGCGAGACGCCGCCGTCCACGTACACCTCGACCCTGTCAAACACGTGCGGGCAATTCTTCTGCAGCTCCAGCAGCACCATGATGGTCGCCGGGGAGGTATCGAGGCTCCGCCCGCCATGGTTGGAGAGGACAATGGCCTCGACGCCGGCCTCGACGGCCCGCTCGGCGTCCATCCACGTCTGCACGCCCTTGAGGACGATGGGGAGGCCGGGGACGGTGCGGCGCAGCCAGGCAATGTCGGACCAGTTTACCGAGGCGTCGATATAGCTGCCCATGATGCGGCCGAGGGCGCCGCCTTTGGCGTCGTTGACGGCGCGGGCGCCGGAGATGGGGGAGCCCAGGGACTCGTCGGAGGCTACGCGCTCGTCGGCCTCGCGTTTGCCCGGGATGGGGGCGTCGATTGTGAGGAAGAGGGCTTTTACGCCCTGCGCTTGGGCGGAGCGCAGTAGGCGTTCCGAGTTGGCGCGGTTCTTGTCGACGTAGAGCTGGAAGAAGACGGGGACGTCGTAGGGAGGTTTGGTGGCGGGGTTGTGCTCGCGCTGGGCGGCGAGGATGTCCTCGAGCGGAAACGAGGCGGAGACGGAGACGCACTGCGGGACGCCGGCGGATTTGCAGGCGCGGCCGAGTTCCTTTTCGCCTTCGGGGTGGACGAGGCGGGCCATTGCGGTGGGCGGGCAGAAGATGGGGGCGCGCATCGGGTGGGAGAGCATGGTTGTCGCGGTGGAAACAGCGGCGACGTCGACGAGGACGCGGGGGCGAAGGCCGATTTGGGAGTAGAGGCTCGCGTTGCGGGTTTTCGTGTGGAGGTCTGTTGCGGCGGAGGAGACGAAGGCCCAGGCTTTGGGGGAGAAGGAGGTGGAGGCTGCGGATTCGAAGTCGTGGGCGCTTATGAGGGTGGTGAGGGGAGGTTTTGAGGGCATGGTTGGCGGTGGTGGTGTTTGGCTGTCTTGTTTGTGGGACGGTTCTTGTTGCTGCTGTGGCCACTTGTGAGGTTGAGGCTTCGCCATGATGGCTCCCGGGGGTAGGACGCCCTTGTGGTGCGAGGTGGGGATGGTCGACTTGACCAGGTTGGGCCCGTGAACTTCAGAGTAGACTTCTGTGGCGTCCTTGCCTGCGCACTTGAGAATCACGGCGATGCCGCCTGGGTGTTCGCGGACAAAGTCTGTGAAGTCGTAGACGGCGCCGTTGATGGCGAGCCAGAGGTCGTCGAGGTGATTATGTTTTGATACCTCGGCGGGCGTCAGTGTAAGAGGGGGCATGTTCTTATCATAGGGGTATAGGTGAGATGGGTAGAAGGAGGGCGTAAGAAGGAGGGATGATGTTGAGAGGTGAAGTCTTGCATCACCGTCTTTGTATGTCGTCGCGGGCCGCGCGCCAAGGCGTAGTCTGACATGTCCCGGGGCCGAAGGGGGTAGTCGATTTCGGGCGGTATTGCGCCGAGAGGGTCCCTCGGGATGGTGGGGCTGCAGCGTGCCGTCCTCCCCGGGTTTCCCTTTTGATGCGACTCTGGCAATTGCCCTTGGATGATGGCCACCCCATGCAGGCGGGGGTGGATTGCACCCCCAGGGCCGGCGGGGGAATTTTCTCGGTCGCTAGAGATGCACGGATATAGAGCCCGTCGTCACTGTAAATCACCGATATCGCATTGGGTTGTGGGTTGTGGGTTGTGGTGGTCCCATGGTGGGAGAATTATTTTTATTTCTTTTTCCATATGGAATTACCCCTCCAAACCTAAGCCTCTCATGTGAAGCTCGCTCAACATCACCCCGCCAAAGCCTTCCCAATGAGACTCAATGCCCTCTCGCTGTGATTCATCTTCAACGCCAGCGCGTGCCCTTCCTCGCTCATCTTGGCCCACGTCTTGCGCAGGATGCCAATAATCTTGTCCTCGTCAACCTCCTCCTTGCTCTCAAAGTCGTCAAAGTGATCGTCGAGGAAAACGAGGCACGCCACGTCTTCAAGCACTTGCGTCTCCTCGTCCTTGCTGAGGTTCTCCTTGCGGATGAGCGCCGCCACGCGGTCGACGTCCTCTTGGGGGATGGCCGGCTGGATGTCGGGTGATGAGGAGATGAGCTCAGCCACTTGGGCGGCGGCTTGAGACTTGAGCTTCGCGCGCCAGGTGAGGTAGCCCGGACGGGTCATTGGGTATGAGTTGCGGGGGATTTCCCATCTACGGTTTGCAAATCAGATGAGTCAGAAAATGAGGCCGATTGACTATGACTGGGAAGGGGGGTCTTATTCATCAACATGATATGCTTAACATGCACATTGTGATGCTTATAATTGCTTGTTCAGAAAAAGGTAAAAAAGGTATAATAAGAAAAGAATGCTTGATTGCGAAATGTTACCTCTTGAAATGCTGGGCTCGGCAGGCCAGTTGCAGGACCGGAGGGGCCGCCGGACACCTCACGGCGAGCCAGCGCGTCATCTTCTGGGCATAGTGAAGCTCAAAAGGGACCGACTCAACGGACGATGGTCTGGGGTCTTGCTTGTGGGCCTCGTCGATCAGCTCAAGGGCCTTGAGGTAATTGGGTGGCAGATCGGGCAGTGAAGACGACGCTGCCATTTTTGGTGTGTGCGATAATTATGTGATAGTATGAGATGGGATATGGTGGGTGTGTTGGACGGGAGGGGTGTTGGGATGAGTGAGTCTGAACGGTGATGGCTGGTGAGGGAAGAGATGGGTTGCTGTTTCAGGCCTTGCGAGAACTTCTTGGCCAGTGAGAGAGAAAGCTGCTAGTCGCCCTTTCAGAGACCGAAATCAAAAAAATGCAACCACCGGCGGCGGGTTCAGGACGATGAGTAAGCCCGGGGCATGATTGGCCGTCGCTCACGTACCTTACGTACCTTATCGTCCGTCCCGGACCTGCATCAAAGATCAGAGGCTCCCCAACCTACGCAGTTAGTCACCTCAGTGCCGTGGACCAATCCCCGGACCTTGTCGTTCATTCCATTAACATCAAGTTGATATTTCCCATACATCCCACTCCTCCCCCACGCAACAGACCATGGCTCTGCCAAACTTCCCACTCAATATCACACTCGGCACGTCGCACAATTAACGCCTATTTTCAGCATGTAGATCGACAGGACCCATAACCTGTCAACCCGTTGGCGCCGTGCTTCCATGCTTCGGCAGATCGCCCTGCCGCCCGGTCTCGCCTGTTCTAGACCGGAGGATACTTTGCGATCCAGGAAGGGGGAACTTGGAGAAGGGACCCCGAACCGCGACGTTTCGTCCCTTCGTCCCACCATGACCAAAGCTGCATACACACACTTCTCATACCTATGATTCATGCTCGTTGATTGGTCGGACCCATTCAACCGCTTAAGCTGAAGTTTGGCACTTTGGCAGTCTGATGAAGCCGTATTAATAGCTCTCAAGGAGATCCTCCTGCCCCATCTTGGCCGTCAAAGCCAGCTTCAGGTTTTCATTTTCGGGTTCGTGCTCACCACAGCCACAAGCAGAATATTTCTCTTCTATTTTTTTTTTCTACCTGGCTTACAGAACTGATTCAATTGCCCACTTAACCAACGCTTGGGAGGGCATGCCTGTCTGCTTGGGAAAGAATGACGGAACGTTGTTCCTCCCTGCTTTGGTGAAATCGTAGCTTCCTGATTGATTTCCAACCCCTCCCTCTGGTGATCACTCGCTCCTGCCTCCTTTGCCATTTTCACCTACCCACCTTACCTTATCAATCGGCAAACTCTTCCACACACCTCATCCTCTATTCTTTCTTTCAGCTATCCATTAGATTTCTCACAAGGCACCACCTCGTGGCAATCTCGGCTTGTGCTTCTTCGTCCGGCAATCTCATTGATAGTTCTATCAATAGAACACCGCAACTACACTGTCGTTTTCAACCGCATTCACAAAGCCTGGACTTACCTACAACTTACTCAACAACATCACGACCAATTCTATTGATAACACCCGATCGACCTCACACGCAGACATCTCAAGCGCATCATCAACCAACTCGTTCTCTGGAAAAAAACGAACGGACATTGTCACTCTCAGCGAATTGAACACCGTGGATCGGGCAATTGCAATATTTCAGAACAGAAGCAACGACCTCCAATCTCACAACTTTGTGGTTTTCAGAGTATTCACAGGCAGACCGAACTTCAAAAAGTAAGCTACAGTTTCAGCGAACCTCACCTCTTCAAATCCTTCTCTAACACACAGTCCAGCTTCACCTCTTCAACCCTCCACGAGTCAATATACCTATGCTTTCGCAATGACCAAAACTAACAATAAGGCTGCCATCGTGGTTGACGATGGCACATCCTCCGTTACAGCAGTAACCGACGATGATGCCATGACCCTCGTCGACTTGTTTGGAGATCTCGACGTCGAGGAACTCACCGAGCCTGACAACAAAACCACATCTGGGGAGTCGACCAGCATTGTGAGTTCGGAGGTCAGCACAGATGCCGCTGACGGTGAGGTCGACCTGAAGAATAAGACAAACGAGAAGGGTAAGAACACAGACACAGAAAGCAAGTCGATCACAGAAGCAGAGACATCCTCTGTAGTCACATCAGAAGCCGCCAGTTCAGAGGTAGCTGAATCTCCAGCTTCTGGCGAGACAGCCTCAGAGGACAAGAGCACAACCGACAATGCATCCTCAAAGAGCGGAGACGCTTCTACTGGTGCCCAGTCATCAACCACGGGCGAGTGGACAGCCTCAGAGGATGCCCTCATCATCAGCATGAAAGAGGGTGGTGAGACCTGGGCTTCCATCGGGAACGCAATCAACAGAGGCAAGAATGAGGTCAAAAAGCGCTGGCACGTATTGAAGATCAACGTTGCCAATTCGGCCAAATCCGCAGACGAGGCTCAGACAGAGTCTGGAGGAGAGACCATCCAGACCGAATCCAAGGCCGGTACCGAGGCCGATGCCAAAACCGATGTGGGCCAAGATGAGGCAAAGAAGTCAGACGATGACAAGTACAAATCCAAGGCAGAGAGAAAGGCGGAGCGCAAAGCCGAGAAGCAGAAGCAGAAGAACAAGGAGACCCCCAAGTCTGATGAGAAACCGAAAGAGTCGCAAAAATCCTCCAAGGAAGTGAAAGCCACCGAGGGCAAGAAACCCGAGTCCAAGCCCAAGGAGCCCAAACAGAGAGGCAAACCCGCCAAGCCCGCCCCGTCAGAGGACTCGTCAAAGCCTGCTACCTCAGACACCAACGATGAGACCCCGAGCTCATCCTACCGAGACCGCTTCAACCTCCTCCGCGACACCTCCTCGGCCTCCGAGTCAACGTCCTCCGCTACCAGCGCAGACGACAACGACGCCGATCCTCAAGCTCAATACAAACGCGAACTCGCCGGTCAGGAGCGCTACATCCGCCGCCACGTTCTCCCGGCGCTCTACCCTCCCGCGCCGGCAGCATCGCACAAGAGGAAGAGACCGCTTCCCCCTCCCGCCAACAGACGTGCACCTAGCCCGGCAGACAGACAGCAGCGCCGAGACGACGCGACACTCGCGGCCGTGGTGTCCAACAGAGAAGCGACAAAGTGGCTCGAGATGCAGGCCAACTTTTATAACGCCACTGGCCGGATGGTGCCGCTTCACATGATCAAGTCGAGATGCGAGGCCGAAGAGGACCGAGGCAAAGCCGCCGGCGTGCGGAGTTGGGCTTCCTCGGTGGCCGGTAGCGAAGATCTGCTGGACCCCAACGAGGGTCGGGACGCTCCTGAGGATGCTCTGGTCGATGACGACGAGGATTGATACCCCCCCTTTTTTTCTTCTTTTTTCTTACGCTTATTCGCGAAACGCGCCCCTCATGAGATACCTGGCTCGAGGGGAGTAACGACTGACGAATGATGATGACGACGAAGGTTACGACCTCACCTTTCTCGTCTACAAGACTTTGATCGTGACTTTGGTTTGGGAACAACTCGTTTAGACGGATGAGAATGGGTTATCGGATATCAAAAATTGGGGTTGGGGTTTCGGGATAATGGATAGATGGGGTGGTAATTTGCGTTTTTGTGTTTTGGGCGGTCTCTGGGTAATAAGGTAGTTCTCCATATGAGGACTAGGGATCCTTTTTCCATATCCAGTCAGCCATCCTTTGCTCTTTTTCATAGCTGATACTCATCATGAACTGCTTTGCATCTCAAATTTTTTTAATTTTTTTTTTTGTTGTTGTGAATGGTCTCAGTTGGATCTTACAGCATTTCAGTTTGCAGAGAATTGCCCAAATTTTGAAGCTCCTACAGAAAAAAGGTGCAGACTACCACCACCGGCAGCCACCGCAGAGGATGGGGTATCAATGGGAATCTACTATTATAACAAAAAGTAGCCATCTTACATGGCGCATGTAGAAAACTCCTACCTGATCAATTCGCCTCCCATTCTCGCCGTATCCAAGATATAAGTACAGGTAAGCAGCCCTGGAAACCATCCAAGGGGGTCTGCTGTAATATTATGTGCCACCCAATGCGCCGTTTGAGATGCTGTGTGCGCTCAAAGTTTTCGAGAATGCCCGCCTCAGCCTGCTCGACTCCGCTCTATCGCTGTAGCGGTAGTTATTTTGAGCTGAATCTTGCACATCGAAGAAGCCTGAATAAGGGGAACCCGGTGTAGGCATTCCACGAGGGTCATTGTGCCCATCCCGAGCATAGCTTTCGCCGTCGGTTGGAGCAGGAGGATATGACCACCCTCACCAAGCTGCACCTCTCTAGAGAATCCCGTGATCGGAGATCGAGTGAAATCGAGTACCTCCTGGCCAAGTCATAGAATAGCCACCATTGAAAAATGCCGTCGCTCAGATGGGGTTCTCCATGCCGGGAGCCATAGTTGTTCCTGGAGGTGCAGCTGGACTAGGACTTGTTCCTCTAGTCAAAGTGTTGTTGCTCGACCCAAGCCCTCGCTTCATCATCTTGCCCAGGACGGTGACCAGCTCGCAAGCATCGGAAAACATGTCGTCATCCATGCCCTCGGTCGCCTCATAGACCTCGGATATAGCATCTTTGGCCAATTTTCGGCTCCCGTCAGCGTCGTGCACACACTCGTAGAGGAACGCGGCGTATTCAGTCTTGACGGAGAGTCGTAATGAATGCGATCCCCAGAGATGTTGGTCAGCTAGGGCAATCGCCTCCTTGAAGTACTTGTGCGCTTCGGGGAGGTAATCTCTCGGCGGCTCGAGGAAAGCGGCGGGTTGGTCGGAGCCGGTTCGAGGAGCGAAACCCGGCGGAGGGTTCACTGGACCGCCTTCGAGGGCATGTGTGGGCTGTATTGAGCCCTGGGATGAGTTCCAATCCTCCCTCGCAAGTCCTTTGCCCTTGTCCAACCTTGGTGGGGTCAATCCGGCCATTGTGTCCGGAGTTGCGATGCCCATGGTGGACACTGCAGGTTTGTTGTGAAACAGGACGAAAATGTGGTAGAACGATGCTCGTAGCTTGTACGCCAATACCCGGAGTTCTGTATGGTTTCCCACCATGGGAATCACATATTGCTGGAGCATCACTAGGCCCTCTCTCGAAAGCCATATGATGTGAAAAATGAGGTCGAGAGATTGAGGCGCGCGGGCGGCATCGGGTCTACGCTGTTTCTT